TAAGGTTGTCACACTTTTGCTAGATTCGCCGAAATGGCGGCCTACGACAGCCGCAAAATCATTTCACAATTGCACTTGGAAATGCTTTGTGTTCGATGCTCAGATTTGAGAGTGTGCATGCCCTGACTGTATGAATGCTCCAAGACGTGCGAACGCCTGACGACTTCCAAAGATGCTGTTGGGCTATAGGCGGTGATCCTCAGCGCCAGTACTCCGGAGTTCCGGTTAGATTGCAATGAAGGACAATCCATCCTCGTTGCCTCATCCACGAATTCTCTAAAGCAAAGAATTTACGACACGTTCCTTGATATGGGGTTTGCTCAGTCGTTAAAATGTCTGAAGCAGAACCGAGATGTTCGGGGATCGATACCTTTCAAGCTTAATAGGCCTCATTATTTTCTCAAGGTTAATCGGGAGTAACAATCTGCTGGAAGGAAACAGAAGAGTACACACTGAACTTGCCAGACAGCTGGTGTCGACTCTGCTTATGGAACGCATAGCCCTCGTGGCTTATGGCATTATGGAAATCGGTGCAATGGAGATCGGTGCCTTACCCTTACTTCATGAAAGGGTGTCAGAAATGGCTTCATCATCAGATAGACAAATATTCCAATGACTAAACATTTTTCTTCCTTCGTCCACCTCGTTTCGAGTTTTCACCTTTTAATCAGGAGGGATGTACGCTACTTAACCGTTTATCGACCGGCAGTGACCGTGATGCATGTCCTAAAGCGGTGTAGACGGACACGAAGAAAGACCTGACTAAGCGAAACTAATCTTTGGACGAAAAAGTCGCAGCTCGCAAATCGCAGATACATATATGGTGCGTCATTGATGGCAATTGTCATTGTTTCTTCGTTTGACACAGACCGATTTTTCATCGCATGTTTTTGGCAGACATTCTGAAACGAGGAAGAAAATCTTTCGCCTAGTTGCCTCGACGGGTACCGCCGAGACCTCGTTTCAGCGACATCAATTAGATGATGACGACAAAGTTCTTTCGACGATAAATCGTCGACGAGGGAGAGTGCCTACGATTTTCTCGTAGTTAGCATATTCACACGAAAACGTGCTTTTGTCAAAGCCTGGTGCAGCAAGTAAAACTAGATCACAACGCAATCCAAGACCAGGCGGATAAGTGATTATTATTATTATGCATTAGTTATCCAATCCTGCGAAAATATGAACCGTGGCAAAGGATACGAACTCCGCGAGGATTGGATGAATCTCGTTGCCGCTGCCGTTCAAACAACTATTTAACGAACAACATGGACCGAAAGTTTGCCTTCTGGTTCTAAAATTTTCGACTGCTGCGGAAGGCCAATCACATTCGTGAAAATTCACTATCAACCTAACTTGAAGAAGGTCCGCGCGACACGCGTCGAAACGTCGTTACCAGTCAGTCATCGAACTGACTACAGTATCTTTTGCGTTGTGCAGAAATAAGCCGTGTTTTAAGCTATTTTTTCAGTATCCAACCTCTTTTACTAACACGATCGAGGCAAGGCAAAATGGGGTGAAAATATTCCTTTCTAAGCCATCCGAAAGCACTGGAGGCAATGCCTGACTTTTTGACTATGATTGATTTGTGTCATCTCTGTAAACTTTGGTTCCGAGACACCGCAGTTTGTCGA